ACATCTAATTTGGCGTTCTATTATACCAATGAGCATGATATATACTTTTCCGTTGAGCTAAACTTTGTATACGCATTGTTTTCTAGACAAACGAATCTGTTGCTTCATTGATAAGTAGGTAAGCCCTAAAAGCAATAACAGCACAGGGCCTTTTTAATTTGTCAGTGGTCCTGGGAAAATGTAGCATTGGTCGCATAATCACATGTTCGTCAAAAATACATGGTTTTTTACAGTGCCATTTGTTGTCCTTTATTTGACGGTTTGCACTTGTAATTGAAGATGTCTAAAGTCAAGCATGCTCAACGGACCTTTACACTTTCGCCATAAGGTATTGCGTAGAATGATGTATGCCCCCGAGCAGCTACCAGTTACGTAACGTAAATGTGAGATATCAATACTGGCAAGAAAAAGACATTGAGATAAGAAGAAATGGACTTTTTATTAATCCGTTTTGCATAACATGCTTTAGCTAGCAAGTATCAGCAAAAAGAAAATAGAACAGTTTACGAAGAATGGTTGGGAGAAATAAGAGTGGGAGTACCAGACAGGAAAGAAGGAAGATAATGTTTGGTGAGAACCAACCATTGAATGTTGTTGATAATCACGACCCATCTGGAGAACGAAGAAAGTGCCTTTTTTTCTCGTTGGCCAACAGCAATTGTTTTTCTCCCTTTTCCATTTTTCTTTCCCTTTCAAGTAGTGGACAATCGGCCACTGTAGAGTAATATAAGGAAGAAAGAAAAGTATGAAGGTAAGAATTATCAGCAGGTCTCTTGTCAATCGTTGTTACTGCCACCAGGTAGGGGATGGACTTGGAAACAGTCCTTCATCAACATGGCACTCTTGAGTCGTCTACTAATATTGGGTTCAACTGGAATTGGGTTTCCAGAAAGGTCTCGATAAATATATGGTAATCTGAAAACGTGTACACTATCTTTGGGTAAAATGATTGCTTTGTCGACACCCATGTTGAATTCCATCGTTTCTCCAGAAGCGCTGACGATCTGAATATGTTTTGTGAGAAAGTTAGTAACACATCGTCAATGTCGAATAAAGAGACAGACCATTCTTATAACTAGCATTTACCTTTACTCTTGGTTTGAACGAGATAGTAATAGATGCATCGGGTGTAACAGCATAGCAACGTTGCAGTTGAGCAGTGACATCGCCCGTAGCAGCTGTCTTTGGGTTAGCGTTGGCATAATTACAGGGACAAAGTACATAGAGCGGCAGATCTTGATGCACAAAGTAGTTGGCATGCTCCTGTGTATGTGCATTCATTCATCATTTAGTGCTTCTTCGTGAGTCGGTTGATATAACAGATATAGACAACGATAAAAAACCTTTGGATGACCCTTGTGTCCAAGTTTGCATATTCTTCCGTCGCCACAACTCAAGAAACGATGTCCCAAAGGACACTCATATTCGGCGCCAACATAGCCACGAATTAACCCATCCAATCTGTGTTCACGATCCTTTCTTTTGGCATCGCGCCGTCGCTTTTCTTTCTTTGGTGGCGGTGGAGGATTGTCCGCCACCTTGACTTCTTGTTGAGGAGGAGCTTGGGCAATAGCTGGGCTTGGCTCGGTAGAAGTACGAGAAGAACCCAGCACAGGAAATGCGTCTAAATTTGCGACAGGCGGAACAACAGCCTTGGTCCTGCTTTCAGTGATTGCTACTTTTGTTAAAATAACATGTTTGATCGCAAAGTTAGCCTTTGCTAACCGATCCTATGCTCTTTATTCTCTCAAAATTCGTTTGCATGTACTCACCTTCAGGCTTTTTCCCTGGCAAGGGCCATTCATTCGTATTAAACCCTTTCCTGTTCGATTCATCTCCGCTCCCACTGTAATGATTAGTATCATTGGAAGCTGGATTACGTTTTTTGCTGCGCAAGTCTGCTGGAGTTTGAATCGCTTCCGTTGCTGTTGATGGCTCCTTGGGTGCCAAATCTGCCGTCCGTGCCATGGTCCATGGCAGCAAGTAATTTGTATTGTTCATGAACCCTTCATACTTGTCCAGCCCGATACTATTGCGATAAGTAGATGCAGCTCCAAGGTACAACAGCGCTGCGTCGAAATGGGGTATATGGCGCTCATCTTTAACCAAATCCTGTGCTTCACCAAATGTTGAATCTTGCAAGTTAAGAGCTGCATGGCCGTTACTCAAGCAACATGTAAATCGTTGATAGAACTTAATATTAGCTTCCTATTCCAGTATATGATTCATTAGATACTCAATAGATTTTAGCAATAGCCTTTGAAGCAGATGATCCTCACTAGTTATTGTTCTTTCTTACCTCCAAATCGAATGGATCTTCACGAAGTTTTTGAGTTTTGCCACAATCACATGCATGGAAGAAACTGCATCCGCTGCTGTGCTTAGAGCTGTCCATGTCCCTGGCATGTTTTTCGTTCTCAGGATCCATATCTTCGTGGCCAGCCTATGTGTGACAAAAGATATATCCTGTTTAGTATGTTTTTACCTTTTTTTGTGAAATGAAAGCGAGAAACTCACCTTTAATCGACAGACTTTTCCGGTCAAGCTAACCCTTTCACAGCTTTGCCGGCCTTGCTTCCAAATGAGATCGCATTCACGTTCCAGGCGAGCACCGAACTCTGCAGCGCATGGGCCTCGTGCTAGAGAGCTATAAAGCCGCAAAACGCTATCCCTCTGGTGTTTACTTATTTGGTTAGCAAATGTCCTTAGAACGTATCAACATGTTGTTGTGAGGCAAGAGAAACTCTGACTACCTTCCAGAGATGATAATGCTTGGTATAGCAAGGTGGAGATTCTTGAAGATATGCTTCAATGCATTTGCGCATGATATCCAGCGAATGGCTAATACATCAAAAGAAATAATCAGTTAAACAGAAAGGTGTGCACTAGAGTGGGTAATAGATACTATTTCCAGCATAATCCGTGATTGTAATACTTTACCTTCTGGAAAATACGCGCTCAATCTCGATAGTATCTCGGATCTTTTTTCGAAGAACTACTTCGATTTGTTGAATCATGCCTTTAGCACCTGGTGACTGTGCGATCACATCCTTTCTAAAGTCATGTTCATTCTCTTCTCCATCATCTCTTGAAAAAAACAAAAGCTTTTTAAGCAAAACAAGTGCTGATGCAAACTGGAGGCCCGTGGGTAATGGGCTAGATGACGCGTGGTGTTTGGAGTCGTTGTTGCCTTTGCGTGGGCCTGATGAAGAAGCTATTTGAAGATGCATAGGGTGTCGGGTTGTAGCAGCACGGGTCCAGTGATTGACAAAATTACGTAGTAATTTGTTACCACAGTCGTCAAAAACAGATTCAATAGGTTGCTTAGGAGTGTCTTTACGTCTCGCGGTAGCTGATACAACATCGATTTGATTGCTCTTAGCTGATACTGCAATGTAATCGTCTTCATCGTCGTCACCATTTTCTTTGAGCCATGCAGATATCGATGTGAGTTTATCGAAGCTGTTTGCGTATGTTGAGGCGCTTTTGACCTCATCGCTAAACGTTGATGTTGTTGCAAATGGGTTAGCTGGAATAATATGTACAAACGGTTGTGATGTCGTTGGAAGCGTAAACAGCGATCTATATACACAGAAAGAATGCACACTGAGTTTTACTAATGCATATCCTAAATACATTTCTCAGTTTGTATGTGTATTACCTGACTTCAATTGGATCGCGACTAATCCCATTATCAGCCGACGGGACGAAATTAAAGGCTCGAAAAATGTTCTTGATTCTGGCCTGTATCACTTCCTGCATGCGTTTCATTGCCACGGGCAATGTTGATCGTGTAACTTTATCCACATTGGGAATGGTCACCTTGAATGCCACACGTCGGTATAAGTAATTGAAGTAGTTTTCTTTCACCTCAAATCATCCATCCGTCTTTTGCTCTACTTACCTCAGCAGCAATAAAGATCATCATGGGCACCCCTTTAGCAGGACCCCACCACCCCATTAGATTTGAATTGAGTCTATCACGATCACGTCTATTCTCGATCTCCCTGCGTTCGAATAATGCACTTGGTACAGATATCTCCCAAAACTTCCAACATGCCGACTGAAGTTGTGCTAAATGCGTATAGATTCCGTTCTTCACCTGCGCTAGGTTGACCAACTCGGACATGAAATCAGCCGGCAATAGTCGTGGTGGAAGTATGGGCTATTTTGATGTCAGTACAATTGTTCAGCGAGAGAAGGATGAGAGAGCAAAAAGACGCATCATCTGCAAAACTTACAATAACTAGGTGTGAAACCAAGAACATCAGCAGAAGTCCACGCATTGTCGTAGATTGTTGTTTAGATAAGAGCGATTGCATAGAATTCTGATCTCTATATATCAGTTACCATGTCTGACCACAAGGTACGTTTGAATAGTAGACAGAAAAAGAAGACAAAATGTCTAACCTTGACAGTGTCGTTTTGGTTTTGATTGCGAAATATATCTGCCAGCGATGCGGTATCAATGCTGGCATCCATAAAAATGTAAGCAGTTTTAGACGATGGATCCACGTATAGTTGTAGCCCTTTCGATAGCTAAATAACCCACAATGTTAGTTTAATTAAAGCAGCGCGTTAATCTTCGTTATTGCCAATATATTATTAACATGCGTGTTTAATAGTACCTCGACCGTATTATCCAGCGGTGCCTTTTTTTTTTCAGAAAAGCATTAATTTTCTTTCTCTTATAACAGAAGCTACATTTATTTGTGTTCATATCTTTCGGTTTACCTGCCCGTTCGGCACAAAGACTTCAGTTCCGACTATGCGATTCGCAATTGTTACGTTTAGATTGGTTAACTTGCCGTTAGCATTAGCAGACGTAGACCGGAAGCCGGAATTGCCAAAAATAGAGACAATAGTAAGGCCGGCATCTCTTAGTGACAGTAGTTGCGCGTCCTCAAGCAAGTCATTGATTGCTTCCATTAAAGAGTGGAGCGGGCAGCAGAAATTCTCAGTACAAGGAAAACAAAAAGCCGTTTCGCCTGTCTGAAATTTTCGACGTGATGTGCGGCAGGTCCAAGCTTTGTGTCACCCGAAAGTTTGATAGAGAAGCGCTGCGAGTGTGTATCTTTTATTATCTAAGTAGTAAATATGTACATTGAGTCCTCTATGTTAACTTCCTTTTGACCATCGCTAGGTAGATCCTCCGGACTTGCTTTTCTATTTCTTCTTTCCTGTAACTAAAAATGCGACAAGTTTTAGTATCACCACTCTTCTTCAATATTTCATCTCAATATCGTCTTTGCTCGATTTATTGTTCGACTCACCATTAAACTAAAAATTTAGAAATAAGTAAGTACATTTAGTTTTTTAGCTTTATATCAGTGCCTAAAATATTACCTTGAAATACATGATATCACCGTCTTCAACTTCATAGTCCTTTCCTTTGGCCATATATTTGCCAGCTGCGCGGACATCTGCCTCACTTCCTGCTTCTCTCAAGTCAGCATACTTCATTACTTCAGCGGAAATGAACCCACGTTCAAAATCGGTACTAGTAGATGATCATTTGAATATGAGAAGCTATGTTCAATCCACGAATACAATAGAATAACATATACATACTGGATCACACCAGCTGCCTGTGGCGCTTTGGACGTGTTCTATACAAATGCGATTTTACCAAGTAAATAGGCGTTATAAATCCAGCGGAGACAAAATAAATTTCCAAGTGGATGAACTTACTCGCACAGTCCATGCGCGCACTTCATCAGGACCTGCTGTGAAATAATGGATCAACTGTAAGGATTTATATCCAGCAAGAATAAGTTGGGGTAATTGTGATTCGACACCATGCTCAGCAAGATATTCGTTTGCCTCATCTGGAAGCATGTCATTCAAAAGCTACACAAAATATAGTGGTAAGTGGATCGATACTGCTTTTCAGTTAGAAACAGCAACTGTGTAAGTTTTCTAACCTTGGATTCCAAAGCGACCGACAATGGAACGATAAGGTCACCTTTGTTGTTCTTATCGACCCAGTCTTGAATTTTTGGTAGCCTATTGATATAATCTCATACTATGAATTTCACCAATACAAAACTACAAAGAGAAAGTACTCAAATATATGCATTAGTTTCTTACCAAGGGTTCTTTGCACCTTGAAGATAATCGTTTTCGCTGATATTACACAAGTAGATCATGGGCTTGGCTGTCAAAAGATGCAGCGAATTGATAACGTTCACTTCGGAGGCAGTCCATTCGCCTTTGCGCACATCGCTGGATTTCGAAACAAAGTTGGCTACTTTTTCTATAACTTCCTACAAAGAGAGTGGAATATAGTAATATGTAACAAGTTTTAGTTACAAATAAATGGCAAGGAAGAAAAAAAAAAGAGTTACCAAATGTTCCTTCATGTGCTTTTTGTCAGGAAACTTGGCAGCGCGGCTATAGTCTGTCAAATATCTCTCAAGCATTTCTTCATCCTTGAGGCGAAGTTCATCCTGGATGATTTCGAGATCGCGTACAGGATCCACAGTATCCTCTACGTGCGTCACATCGTCGTTGTCAAAAGCGCGCACTAAATGATAGATTGCATCGACAGAAGCCACGTTGGATAAAAATGCATTTCCTAAGCCAGCGCCTTGTGCAGCTCCACGCACCAGACCGGCAATATCGACAACAGTCAACTATAAGACAGCGTATTTCAGTTATTTTCGTTTTGGATCGTCAAAGTCACTAATCCATTACTGCTAAAATTCTCATACATGCGCTGGGGTTTGCTTCTTTGGCTGATACGTTTCGCATAGCCAATCGAATCGTTCGTCTGGTACATGAACTCGTGCTTCAGACGGGTCTATTTGAACGAACGAAATCCATTTTTAGCACTAGCTGTCGCATAGTAGTGATATATGTATAACCATGTTGTTACGAACCAATAGTACAGAAGGGATAATTTTCTGCAGGAACGCTGCTGCTTGTCAGGGCATTAAACAAGGTCGATTTTCTGTGTGACAACAACAACAACGATATCATCTTTTTCTTTTAGTCGTTTGTAAATGAAAATAAGAGAGTTTCTTTGTCTTTACCCAATATTGGGCATGCCGACAACACCCATTTTCAAATTGTTGGATGGCCTGCCCAAAATGGCCTTTTCAGTTGATGCGGCTGAATCAATTTTGCGTTTGGACTTTTTCGCACAGACAACTGCCGAGGTCGAAATAAGACGAGAACTATTGTACACTTGTAAAAGTGCCGATCCCCTGCATCGTTGTCCTAGGAATAATGCTGCTGTCATGTCAAACTAAAAAAAAATATGCTTGTACACAAGTAAACAGAAAATCCGTTTGTTCCGACTGGAAACCTAAATTTGACATATGGCTAACAGTAAATGCGACCTTCCAAAAGCATCATTCGATGACTGGTTTGAGCGTTTATTATCGAATATTCCGTTTGCTCATATAAGCATCATAGCAAGCACGTATAAGCATCCTGTAGCCTTGTAATACGGCAATGCAGATACGCACTTGTGGCGTATAAATAGTAACTTGGCCTCGCATCGCTGTTTTCTAGCGGCAGTTATTTTTTTTGGGGGCAGTAAAGGAAAGAAAAGGAAACAATCAATTCTGCTTCAGCACGCGGTCCACACGTCCTCCCCCGCCCCTCTAAATATGTTCAACGCTGTCATTCGAACTCGCTTGATCTCAGTGCGTCAGTGTGGTCTGACAACTCGTCACCTCCATAAATCACCTCTCGTCCTAAGACCCAACAACGCTACCTCCGAAATTGTACGATCGAGCAACAGTACCCAATCAGTAGCAACACGTCGTCAGGCACAGCATCAACAACAACCAGTCGTTTCGCGATCTAAAAAGGATATTATTGATTTTCTCTATCACAATCACCAACGACCAATACCTACTGGTAAACCCAACACAATCCTGACCAACTGTCCTCACTGTCTAAAAATCCGCAAGGCAAGCTTTGCTGCCACGATCGATCTTGAAACCGGCTCTTACAACTGCCGCACATGTCATTCCAAAGGCAGCTGGAATCAGTTTTCAAGAACGCTGCGGAAAAAGCTTAAAGATGATCAAGTTGATTATAAGGTGTACAATGCTTCAGATATGCTTGGAAGTAATGCACCTCGTTTCTCGCGACCCCTGGAAGAGATCGAAAGTTATCCGAACCAGCTGACTACTGAACACAAGGAAGCATGGCTTGAACAATACAAGCTCGATCCAGCAGTGTTGGAACTCTATCGCGTCGGTGTTGCAGAATATACGGATCCAAATGCATATCTGGAAGCGACGCAAAACGATGGCAATGAGGAAACGGTAGCGAAAAAGGAATGTGTTACGTTTCCACAGACGACACTGGTGTATGCGGTCAATGAAGAACAAGGCAAAGATGACGATTTCAAAGTTGAAACTGCTCGCGTAAAGGCATGTACACTGGACGAGCCAAACGATGCAGTAACATACGATCCGCCCACCCCTAGCGAAGCATCGTCGGCCGGATTGTTTGGTTATCATACGATTCCAGCAGATGCGGGAGCAGTTATCTTGACACGGCGCGAATTGGATGCCATGGCAGCTTATCAGGCAACCAGTATCCCGAGTGTTTCCTTGCCAACCTCCAACTATCAGCTGCAGGAATCAGTTTTGCCACTTATTGAGCGATTCACTAAAGTATACTTGTGGTTGGATGACGATGTGGATGGACAAATTGCAGCTGAACGATTTGCACATAAACTCGGGGAGCCAAGATGTCTGTTGGTCAGCACCAATATCGACGGGGAAGCGAATGGACCCCGGTCTGCACATGAAGCATTAATGCAAGATAAGGATCTATCACAAATTCTCCAGAGTGCACGTCGGCTTAAACATGACGAAATTATGGATTTCCACGACCTTCGTGACGAGGTGTTTCGAGAAGTTATGAATCCAGAACAGACGTGTGGCGTGCAGTCCAAGGATCTGCCTCTACTCAACAAGATTCTCAAAGGGCATCGGCCTGGCGAGCTCACAATTCTTACTGGACCAACAGGCGCAGGCAAAACAACCATCATCAGCCAGCTTAGCTTGGACTACTGTAAAAGTGGTGTACCCACGCTCTGGGGATCTTTTGAAATATTGAACAAACGGCTAGCCAAGAAAATGCTGTATCAACTTGCAGGGAAAGATATAAGCAAGGCACCTCGAGAATTTGATGTGTGGGCAGATAAATTTGAACAGGTAAGAAAATAACAGGATCACAGAGGTAGGAAATGAATTTAAAAGCTTTACTCTGACTTTGATATTTTTGTTTGCAGCTTCCATTGTACTTTCTAAGATTCTTTAGTAGCACTGCTATTAGGGACGTGCTGAAAGCATGTAGACATGCCGTCTACGCATACGATATTCGACATATCATTTTGGACAACCTTCAATTCATGTTATCACAACAAGGCCGGTCAAATCTTGATCGTTGGGAACTACAAGACGATGCTGTGGCGGAACTGCGCAGGTTTGCAACAGAACAAGATGTACATATTACACTAGTCGTGCACCCGCGAAAAGACGCAAACGACGCATTAGACATAAACTCCGTCTTTGGCAGTGCCAAAGTAACCCAGGAAGCAGACAATGTGATCATTATTCAGAAAGATGATGAGCCACGTCGCTACCTTGATATCAAGAAAAATAGGCAAGTGTATAAAACATCACCCCATCCGCAATTACGTTAAGTGATAAACCTTGATAAGTTAGCTAACTTGCTTTATTTTCATGCTATCTACTATCTCCCCTTCACCACATCTTTAAATTACCGCTCTATTTACTAGATTTGATGGAACTCTTGGAACTGTACCATATACGTATGATGCAGACTCGCTCAAGGTAAAGCAATGAAGAGACCAACCGAGCGAACACAAATGTTTTGGCCTGGCAATTAGGCTAATATTTTTACCGACCCTTTTCAGATCCGCGGGTTGTCCGAACAAGAGCAGCAGCAATATCAAGCTCGAAATGCATCCTTCTCCTCCTCCTCCTCGTCATCATCATGGTACCGCCCTGCTCGCCGAGGAAATTCATCTACCTCACAAGTACGCTATCCTTCTTTTAAGAGGTCTTAGAAACACAGTAGCAGTACTCTAGCTATACATTTGTAGATAATTCCTATCACATTTCGCAATCCCTACCCCTCCCAATCTCCTTGAGATTTCGTTTACTCGATCAATTGATTACACCAATGATTATGTAACAGTCGATGGGGCATAGCTGATTTCCCATACACAGGACCTTTACAAAGCATGCCTTCTGTTCTTCTTTATTTTTACTTTGGCTTCATCTTGTTCTCAATCGTGTGCTGAGTTTTAACCTGTTATCGATGGAGGTTATTCCACCACAATGTGTGGCAGTTTGTGTGTATGTGAACGCATACACGGAATCGGCTCGTACGTTATAAACATGCGATCACTGACCATCATGTGAAAATATCATTTCCCGCTTTTTTGGCTGTGGGATACCAACTCCCCGCACACTGCTTCATTCCTTTCTGAGGCTGTGTGTTACTTGATTCAAACCCTACGGGGACCTTCAGGGATTCCAAGGTGGAGTCATGACAAAATACTTTCGGGAAAATCCACATGTTTTTCTTTGGGATGGTACTACAAACCTGCTTGACCCAATCCAAATTTGTGCTGAATTTCTCTGCATGAAATGGTGCCACCTATTGACGTTCGGGTGTAAGTATATTTAGACATTCACTTGTCACAAAAGCTTGCTTACGTTATCTACAACACCGACAATAGCTACACCAACGAGCAAGTTCTTATGTCATATATCCGTGTGAAATCTACAGCTCAATCTATTATCACTACTTCTGTTGATCGAGCAAGTTACATACCACAAACGGAGTGATATCCCAATTTCAGCACATGTATGTTAAAATGACGCTAGATAGTTTTTGTTCGTCTTCCAAAGTGGTAGAGGTGTTTCGATGTTACTTCGAGCCAGCATTAAAAAAGTATAGCGTTGTATCACCGTACATACGAAAAAATGTTAATGGGTTGGATACCCTTTATTCAGAATGGTGCCGAGATGGTAGATGTCATCCAGAGTTTCATGATTAGCATGAAAGTACATACAGCATCAACTTTTCTTCTCGTTACGAACAGTTGCTTCTTCTTCCTTTTGATTTTCTCTTTCGCACGCGGTAAAACAAAGTGACAGGTTTCAAATGCACGTGTCACAAGGAATAATGTAATCTTATTGCTGCAATGCGACAACCGTCTATAACTTAAAGCCACTTAAATCGGCCAAGTACCAATAAGAAAGAGTCCATGAGGATGATGGGCTGGAAAAGAAGGATAAACTTTTTTCTTTTAATTCTTAGTTTTGCTTTTTTCGTGCAAAGAAGAGTAGAAGCACAACTGTAGAGCGATGAACCATTCTGGCATCCTAAAGGATCGCGCGGTGTACGATTTACATGCCATTGGAAATTCAGTCGTGAGAATTGTTACACAATATACTGTACAAGCTAACTTTTGCAAAGTGGATTATGTCAGCCAGAGAGAGAGATGCGATGCTTCCAAGTTATCCCACATCATCCCGTCATTATAGTTTCAAACTTTCTTTTAATTTTTGTATCGTGAGCCATCGATTGGATTGGACTAGCGCGTTCAAGTTACTACAGCACTTTGTCGTGTGTGCAGCGGCTTCTTCTTCATGCTAAGCATATTAAGTAGTTTTTCCCTCTGTTATGTAACGCCTGACAAAAAAAAAGAAACTAGATACGTAATTAAGAATTTACATTCATCCGGGGCGAACAGCGATGGTAGTAATGCTGGTAGGCTGTCAATAGTTTCAGATCGCATATAAAAGGACAGCGTTGTTCGCGACAACCAAGGTCAAATCAAGTCCCAAAAACACCTTCCATACATATCTCTTTAATCCATTCTTCCCCATACAAACACATCAATACATATAAACATATCCATTACTACTGCTGGTATCAGTGAAATTATCAGAAGCATGAAGACTACACTCATATTATCCACTTTGGCCATGGCTGTGGCGGCTCTACTCCCTGGTGGTGTGGATGCTCGTCCTACTCATCACCACGACAACAAGAATGACGGCTTTGTCAAGGTTAACGAGGATGGAACTGGTTTCACTCGTTTTGGCAAGCCTTACATGATTAGAGGCGCCAACTACTGGCAAGGTAGCTAACATATACATATACCGCGCTTTTGCGCTGCAGTTGTACTCTCATTTATATACATGTTAACTAATATATCATCTATTTGTAACTCCTCATCAGGTATTAACTTGGGTGCCGAAGAGTGCTTTGGTGGTGACCGTGAAAGAATGGAAACCGAGATTAAGCAGATGGCTGATATGGGTACGTTTGAAAACCAAGCAAATGACAGGTAGTAGTGGGCATGGATGTTATTACTAACTGAATATTTTAAAATTATCATATAGGCATCAGCAACGTTCGTGTTATGGCTGCCTCTGAAGGTCCTGATGACCAGCCTTATCGTATGCGCCCCAGCTTGATGTACAAGCCTGGAGAGTACCGTGAAGAGATATTCGTGGGTCTAGATTACCTTATGGATGTCTTGGATCGTTACAATATGACCGCAGTCAGTAAGTAATATAGTGCTACATATGGATTAATAAATGCTGTATATTGAGATCCTAAGCGAAGCTAACCATGTGGTCGCGTACAGTGACATTGAACAATTTCTGGCATTGGTCTGGAGGCTTCTCCCAGTACGTTGCCTGGATAACTGGTGATGAGTAAGTAGAATATATACACTTATACGTAGAATCGTATCAATCTCCTCTCTGCATTTTTAGAAAGTGCCTAATCGAAAGGATTTACTTTGTATTTTAAGGAACATCCCTTACCCAGTCAACAACACCGGTTGGGATGAATTCACTGCCTATACTGCTCAGTTCTATAACAATTCCGACATTGCTCCTACTGCTCAAAAGATTTACAAGGATCATATCAAGACTGTGATTACCCGCAAGAATACCATCAACGGAAAGGTTTACAGCGAAGATCCCGTTGTTATGTGTAAGTAACTGTGTACGAGAAAGGAGACTATCCAAGGTTTACTGACTGGTTTTCAACGGCTAAATATATTGTTCTAATGCTATACCAATATAGCGTGGCAGCTCGCTAACGAGCCCCAGCAAGGACCTGCTTGGTGGTTCGAGGAGACTGGTACTTTCATCAAGGAATTGGCTCCCAATCATTTGGTTTCAGTTGGCTTAGAAAGCAAGGAAGACGAGTTTGACTTTTTGCGCGCTCACGATCACGATGTCATTGACTATACTACCTGCCATTTGTGGGTCGAAAAGTAAGTGATACCGCCTACTGATCATGATTTGATCACAAAGACCAGCTCGGGAGAAGTACTAATCGCTGGATGTTGACTATCTCTTTCAGCCGTGGTGTTTACGATCCCAGCAAGGAGGACTCGATTAACGATGCGTTGACTTACGGCGCTGATTTCTTAACCAAGACCTCTGGCTGGGCTGTTGATCTTGGAAAGCCTATCGTTATGGTTCGTGCATCATCAAAGTAGCAAAGCAAGGAGGAGAAGGGTATAGCAATGGGGTCATTTTTTATACCTGCTTACTAACTGGAAAACATGGATATGCTTTTCTTTATTTGTTCTTTCTTCGCATGTAGGAGGAATTTGGAATGGTAAGCTTTTCTATAGATATGATTATTTTTTCATGCTGTCAAAAATGAACTATATACTGATATTTAGTCATATAATTATTTAGGCTCGTGACGCTTGGTTGCAGCCCAACAACTTGACTTTCAAGTACGATCCCGCCACCCCTACCGCGCACAAGGATGAATTCTTCGGTGCTCTCTTTGATCAGATCGTCGGCTTTGCCAAGAAGGGTCAGTTCTCCGGCAGTAACTTCTGGGCCTATTCGGGTATGGGCAGATCTACCGACTACCCCAACAAGTACGGCATGGTTTGGCTCGGCGATCCTCCTCACGAGCCCCGTGGTTGGTACGGTGTATACGATAAGGATACCACTGCGAAGGTCATCTCCAAGTACAACTCCGAGTTGCAGGAACTTGAGAAATGATTTATGCGCTTATTATGCGAGCAAAATACAATATGGATAGCTAGTAATTTCTGTTATTTAAACATTAAATAGAAAAAATAGTATCTTCATAAGTATCTCTACAGAGTACAGATTTGAAATTGATTTTGCAGTGCATACAGTATGCTGGATGGAATCGTATGTAGCAGTTGTCGTGATTGACATTTTTTTGGCCTTCGTTGGTCGTTGATGCTGGGTATATTTTCTTCGTGATACACTAACATTTCTGACTTTTATATTTGATGAAAGCCTTCATGTCTAGAATGATGCTGGTCAGATAGATTCTCATATAGTAGTTAGATCAGCTACGAATAGCAAGAAAGAATAGTAATCCCTTAGCCAGCGCGGGAGTCTAAATAGCAGTGAAGGCGTTGAACAAATAGATGTTAAAAATGCTGCAAAGTAGTACCATTGGGAATTTAATGCATACGCAGCTCTTGACGGGTCAGTTACCTATTTAAAGTGTATCCAAAGCTGCTATGAATAATGAGATAATTGAAACATCGATGCGCAACTTGTAAGAGGATGATCCTTGTCTAAGCTGCATAGAGATCCTACATAATATTAGACTCATATGCAAGCGTCTACTTGGTTGTTGTAATCATACTATCATCCTTCAAGTCAAAATAATTGGAGAGCTGTTCACAATGTATGCAGTCGACCGATCATTTAGCCCCTCCTCACTGAAACTACGCTATTCACAAAATAAAGATAAAGACTTTTAGAATATCATGGTCTGCGCAGTATGTTGCTGTTGATTCCAAATTGTCTAATTGCGAGAATCTATTTCTCTGGATTATAACTCATAGAATTGAAGGTCGGTTTGCTGACCTTTTACTTATTTCCGATAACGGCGAAAAAATACCTCAAGAAAGCCTAGAAATTGACGAGATAAACCATCAACGAAAGTTGTTAATGGTACCGTAATATAATTAGGATTTTGAGGCACCGAGTACCGTGCACAGCTACATTTAAAATCCATAAGTACCGTTTAAACCTTATAAGATCTTACAGGCTCTTGGAACAGGTCGTTTTAGGTGTTCGAAAGGCTTCAAACGGCAGCAGATAGCAATTTGTATTTTGCGGATGCTACCATTTACTTTTTACAGACATTTCTCTTGATGAGTCCTTTGGTAGGCAACAAATATCTAATAACCGGTCATATGTCTGTGTGTGTGCATACTGAATTAAGCTTCTCTATTAGGCGATGTCGAGACACGTTAATTGTGATACTGTAGGTAGATTCGAGTTTAGTGCAATTGGAATGACAAAGGTAATACCGTTAAGCATTGATCCTGCAACCCGCCTTCTCCATCAATCTAGTGCGCCACGTACACCCTCTCCTAGGTTTCAAGTGCTTTTGGCGTGATAGCAGTCCATGGTGCCCAGCTGTCTATACTGTATTGTGCACCATTTTTCATTTATTTCAATTACTTGGCTGGATCTATTGTAGCATATATAGACTATTGTTTTCAATACATAGAAAGCTTTTTAATAAAACTCTCTTTTTACTACCTTCCTTATCATTAAAAAAGAAACAATACATCTGATTCAATTACCAAAAGATGCAACGCATCAACGATATCTAGCCGAAAAAAATCATCTCTTTGGCTTTTTAATCGCGATAAAGAAAGGGCACACAACTGCAGAATATTAGCCAAAGAGTACATTAACATATATGGGATACAGAATATGTCGTCATAGTCGGTTTCAACTGTTTCAACTAGCGAGCAGTTGCTAGCATTTCAGAAAGAATCGACAGCCCAAACATTATTGACCGTCGTGCGCCGAGGGAGAAGTTTATAAGAGCAATAACCCGATCATACAGCTGGGAATTGAATGAATCCAGAATATCCGTTGGTTGCAAGTTGACAGGAGTGTACCCACTGCCGATAATCCTGATATTAACAGGCAACGACACGCGTAGGCAATACGCCACGATTGTTTTAGGGCAGAGATGTACGCACAAACTGCCAGGATAACACACACCAAAGCGGTCGTTCTGTATATATCATCTAACATTAAAGGTTCAACTCCATACTTTTTGAACCAATTACCAAAAGCACCGTCTGTAGACACTAGCTACCCTGAGAGCTACACGCATTCACAATCGTCACTCGTTAATCTCGCAGATCTTCACTCCAGTATGATAGCTCAAGCCTCCGACAGTATCCCTCCTTATGTCGCAAAAACTTATACGGAGGCATTGGTTTTGGGCTATGTCGGGTGCTTTCAATTGTGCCTTAGTTAATGACGTTATCGCGAGACCATATTCAAATTTAGGTTGTCTAAATTTGAGCGTACAGGTGGCTTGATAAAAGGCGTGATATTCCCGAGGGGTTTCTACCATAAAATGCTATGTTAAAAGGTTTTTAGTTATATGTATATTCTACGAGAATGGCTATATGTAACAATCCCTTGTCTTGACCAATTTTTCCCAGCAAAAGTAAGTGTTATTCTGAACTGATGAGATAAGAAAGATATGTTTATTCTACCAAGTGTTAGTAAGTTTACGTCCGTGGTAATGATAGCCCCTTATTCTTTTGCTTCTAGTCTAAGTTCCTGCTTTAAATGCCAAGGCTGTGCTGCAGTTGCTGTTGCACTGGCTCGTTGTACTTTATGATTATCCTTGATCGTTTTTTTTTTTGCTTTTGTACAACGATATTGTTGTTGTATTATTCATCAGCTACATCCGTTGTATGATGATCTCGTCATCTGTTCTTATGGATCGCGGACGTCATTTTTGATAAGAGGTATGGATAAGTTGTTTGCGATTACAAAACTCGAGAATCTTAATTTCGTTACTGTTGTTTGGAATTTTGAAAACATAACATGGATTTTGTAACGTTAGCTACCGATGAAATTGATGTCAACATATCACCGTGTGTTTTGATTAGCGTTTGTACTTACTATTAACTCTACTTTTCAAGCGTAATCCACTTGTATATGTGATGTTGATCCTTAATTTCATCTTGTCTTGAATTCAATTGTTTGTCTTCAGCCCGGAATTGATACAGGTGCATTCGTATCTTACGAAACGTATTGACCTTGTATCATAATTTTCCATAAGCTTGCTCTAAGTGCTGCTTTTTGTCGTGCCTCGAGTTGTCTTTTCTTGCACCATTTGCCTTGTATCTTGTGTCTTGTATATAACTTTTTTTTCTTTTTCTTTTTCTTTTTCTTTTTTTTTTTCTTTTTCTTTTTCTTTTTCTTTTTTTTTTTCTTTTTTCTTTTTCTTTTTCTCTTTCTTTTTCTATTCTTTTTTCTTTTCCTTATTTACGGGGTCTATCATTACCTGGACATTAACTTACCAAACATCTGTAGTGGGAATATATTCGTGAGAGATCTCGTTGACTGGTATATAGGAACATGCAGGCTCTACGACAAAGCAATGTGAGCACAATTGCGTAACATTACAAGGTTGATCAATTGCTTTTTGCCACTAATTCTTACCGTGATGCTTTTCTAAATGCCTATTGCCCCTGGTATATCTTGCTGTCTGTAGCTGATTTTCTTGAAGCATGTGTCTGCATCTCTTGAGGATGCATTAAATAGCAATATCGTTCGGCCGCCACTTTTGCTAATGGATGGTTTGAAGTTTTGATGAATATATGTAGTATGTCCCAATGACGTTTGTTGTAATCCTTTTAGAGCACTGCACAATTACCCTTTTTCGTTTTCTCCACAAACGATCTTATTGTCGTCGCATAATAATTGAGCGAGCAATATGGATGCTCGGTGGACAGTCACGCGCGTTTCATTGATGTGCCTTGAGTGTGTATGTGCACATATGTCTTCCACTTGACTTTAAAAAGTTTATTGACTGCTTCCGCTTGCCACCGATCAGGTTTGTAGGATCGTCTCTCTCACCAATGTATCGTAGACTGTATACTGGTGGTAGGCTCTTCTTGATTTCCGCTTTGTTGGTATACAGTGCCGTCGTGTGGATCTGAATATGATGGGCCACTTGATGATGACGCCTTAAAAGCCAATGTCGTGTTTGATGCGCCGTATGAGCGAGACCTTGTATTGTTTGAAATAGCTGTGTCCTGTGTTTGATTTGCGGTTACTACAGCTGCGTTTTCATTCACCACGCGTTAACTGCCTCACAACCATAGCAAGAATGAAACCGCCACATATGATGTGATGCTAGTTTGTTCACTTACTTGTTCGCATTGGTGTCCTTGACCTTTCCTGTCGTCCAAACCCGTGATGCTTAGTTGTATGGAGGTCATCGCCAAGATTTTGAATCGCCTTTACGATTCCTAAGAAGAGATAATAGATATGAGCATACCATTGTTTTTGACCTGATATCGGTGTCATCAGATAATCATGCGCACTTACTTTCAATTCATAAAGTAGCAAGTAAAAGGACTAATTGTGCTGCCTACGTCGTTTCTTGTCGCTCTTGTTGCCTCTGATGTGTGGTTGTCATTACGCTGCATACTATAGTATCGCCAGATTATGTAGGTTTGACAAAAAAGCGTTCCCATGGCTTCTTGTTCTCTTCAACGATAAACGATCAGAAGCGGACGAGAATTGTCATGTAATTGAGATGTTGTTGACCGCTTGACTGTTTGATAAGTGTACTGTCGCCAGATTCCAGGGTTTAGTTGCCACCTTCCTGCCTTGGTTGATGTTGTCGTCCGGAGCTCTTGATATCTTGTTGTCCCAAGATGAAAATCCGCTCGAAAGCTTGTTCTGTTCCCGCTGTTGTCAATTGTTACCGCAAATGTTGTTTGCCTGAGTTGTTGCCACCAAGTTGGATGTCATCAATGCCAATGCCAACTGTTTTGTTGCGTCGATGTTGTCGCATGAATACGTCTTGCTGTTTGTTGTCATAAGCAGAGATGACTCATCATCTCGATTCGACCTGTAGCAATTGTCATTTGCAATGTTGTCAATTCTTCTTGCTCTTGTGCTTTTTGGTTTGATGTCTACAACGTGCCGATACCGCTCTTTTTGATGTGTTGTTCCGAACAGTTCCTTTCCGTCTTAACGTAACTTGTTGGAATATTCGAGTTGAACTGTCAGCCATGCTGATGTCTCTTCGTTGCTACGAATTCTTGCTTGTTATCCGTACCACTGAGTTGCGCTACTTCTTGATGTGATGATAAAATTGCTGCGCTGAAACATGTGATTCACTGTTGCACGCTTTTTCGTGATGGGGCATGCATTTTGACAAGAGAAAATCAAGCCAAAGACGGGATTCTCCGAGTCCTCGATTCGACACAAGGGTGCTTTTGTACTCGGCTAGTCTGAAATTTGGCGCCACCCCACCATGACGGCATGTGAGGCACATGCATACTAACCACACGCAACGACGACGTAATCAAGCCAAAGACGGGATTCTGCTAATCCGCGATCAGCGCCAAGTTTTTTTACTCGGCTAGCCTGGAAAGCTGGCGCTCTCCCAACATGGCAGCGTACTACCACCGCACCGCTCTCGCCAGGACAACCCCAGCCCGGACACCCCAGCTTCAGGCACCCGAAGCAGAGGGTAAGGGTTATGAGACAGAAGGATACTCACTTCCATAGCAGAGGGACAGCTAACTGCTACCCAGGCCCCCGAGGGATCAGACGCGGTTTAGGCGTAAACACATTCCAGAGGACGACCGAGAACCGTGCTGTGGGGTCGGTGAGGTGGTAATGCTTGTGGAACAATGCTTTGTGGTATTGTCGACGCAGGAGTACCACGGGGTGTCTTTTGAGCCAGTGTGAACCAATGGAGCAACCACGACTAAATAAATGCTACAATGCAAAGACGGCCTCCAGGTCCTACATAGAGCTGCTCCCCTCCCTTGTATTAGCAATCATCGAAACGATTGACTGCTACAAGAAAGGGGGATGGACGACTAGCAAAAATACTTCAAATTAGTTAGTACATCATGCTCACTTTGTTTTCCTATATTACGTGAAAGTAAAGATGATCAATACGTGCCTGCAAACAGAGCCATGGTCTACCGGGCCGCTCCATTGTACATTCCTGCTATGCAAGGTGTCACCCTCGTCCTCCAAAACCGACAAACGACAATGCAATGTTCCTAGCATCACCATACAGCACACCGGTGGTGCCACAGCCATCTAGTCCAAAGTCATCGTGAAACATGCGCAGAGGCCCCCTATATCTCCCTATACAGGCGATAGCACAGTGCCTTGCCACAGCCTTCCATCTCAGCCCTTACCTTACTCCGGGTACCCTCCACTGCACCCCATCGCCTGACGAAGGCGGAAGCCGCCAGACCAAACACCAGAAGCATCGCAGCCGAACCGACCACGCAAAGACCTAAAGAACATGGATCCAATCAGTAAATATATGCCTTGAATCTGAGACAGCCTTCTTTGAACTACATACCAAAACAGCCCACGCAAAAGAGCCGACCAAAGACGGCCCAAACGAACCACCCCAGAAGCCATGCGGAGAAGGCACCACCGAGGAACCGACACATCACCACGACGCCGACGCGCCAACAAACCAACGCCAACAAGCGGGAAGAAGAGGATAAAGCAGGAGCCGGTAAAAAAGAACGGAAGCAGGAAAAGGAGGGCCTATTAAATCGACCAGCCAGCAATGTTAGTTTTCATCTTTATCAGGCAGCAATGTGTTTGAAGCAGGCTTAGTAAAACGAGAGTTGACTTTGTTACCAATAGCTATACGGAATACTGAATACTGAATACTGAATGTTTTTTGAGGGTTTTGACTTTTGAATTGTTTTTTGGGTGCTATAAGAATTTGTACGAAAAAGAAGAAGCCGGTATCAATGAGCGCGTTTATGATAGGAAAGAAGCAGAAGCACAAGACAGCAGAAACATTATACTTACCTTTTGTGGTGTTTTTTGCTTTTTTTGTTGGGATCTATCATAACAGAAAGAATAGACGTGTCCAAGTCAGTGAACGCGCTCAATAAAAAGGTCAATGTAGAGTAGCTTACTTTATGGATTTTTAGTACCACCAGGGGTACGAAGGAGGAACCCAGTCTACGTGCATCAGATTGCTCTGATCGTCGTCAATATCCATGTCGTCGCTGTCAATGTCCATCATATCACCAGCATATGGGATCTCTTCATCCTCTTCTGGCACGGCGCCTCTTCAGCTCTTCGTCTCGGCAACCTCAACCATCGGAGGAGCGAGAGCGGGGAAGAGGACAGGGAAAGCGGGAGCAGGCGCCTCCTCAGCCTCTTCGTCATTGGCAACCTCAACCATCGGAGGAGCGAGAGCGGGGAAGAGGACAGGGGAAGCGGGAGCAGAATGGTGAGGAAGAGGGGACGGCGGCAAGACGGGAGAAGCAAAGGACTGAACTGCGGTGATGGCGGTGGGGACGAACCCGCACGCGACAGAGCACTGGACGCATCATCATTGTTGCCGAGGTCAATGATGAGGGAGGAGTCGGAAGAGAAGACGGTGACGAAGGAGTGGTGTGAGGCCGTGCTGGCGTTGTCGAAGCTGAAGGTGGGTGTAAGGACGGGCGAGAATTGGGGTGGCGCGGAGGAGATGGTGGAACGGGAATGGTATGAAAGCTGTGATGCCGCGTCAGGGTCGTAGGGGATGGTGGACGCATCGTCGTGGTCGAAGTTGTAGTAGCCTGTGGCTTGGTCGTAGTTGGTGTCAGCGTGAGTGCTCATCGTAAAAGTACGGAAGAATGGACAAACTGGTAAAGAAGGAAAAAAAAGGAAAACGCGTTTTTTTGTATCCTGCTTCCTTATCTATACTTGCTCTGATCTGATTTGATTTGATATGCACAAATAATTTCCTTTTTTGGGTTGCCTTGCCCGATGATCTCTTACCACTCACATTAAAGATCCTTCTTTATGACTTATGAGACCTTTGAAGCAGACAACTGGAAGCTTGTTTTCGATGAGCTATACAGCAGAAAAAGACCTTTTTGTTGCCATGGCATTCAGAGGTCGTGACATTTCCTGTTCCTGAAAGCTGCTTGTTGCCATGTCAAGCATGTCAAAAATTTATTTTATTGTATTCGTCGCGTCACGCATTTTGGCCAATTCCGAGCGGAATGGCGGCTGTTCTCGCGAAGAGATTCGCAAAGCTTTTTTCACACAATTGCAACCAGCACAATGTACAGACTCCTGGCAACACGTACATACCAGGACCTTGTCTTTCTGCGGCTCTGTGGCCAAGTTACGATGCTTTTCGTGCAGGGTCTCCATTGTACTTTGCTATCATACTCGGCCTCTATATGCACAGACCGTTCGTGCTGGCCGTGAAAATAAAATTGGGGGTGTAGGGAGTGTGTGGGGGGAGGACATCGGAGGGGATCCCGAGCTTGGAGACATCACTGGTACACGACGCTGCTGAATACGCTTGATAGAGTTTTCCACATCCTGGGAGGTAGACTACTTGTCCATTTTAGCCTCGCATCGAACTCAGTGGTCAGCGTGATTGACGATGATCGTAACCTGGCGAGCTTGGTCGATGCAGAGAAATGGGATCCTTTTTAAGAAAACAAAAACCTTTCCCAATCCTTGCGGTGGATCCGCTTTTATGATGACGCTGCTCACATAAACAGTCATTATCTCTGTAATTGTAACATATAATATAATATGCTCTACTCCTCCTACTTAATAATATGTATTACGATCCCTGGGAACATGCGTACAGTAGATCTCGAGAAGTGCAGCTAAGAAGCTCAGCGCAAAGACAAAGTCAACGGAGGAAACCAGTTTGAAAACACTGGCGTGGCCATGTACGTTACCTACTAGAAGTGGATGCGAAACTAGTATTCAGTCACTGAGGTGTTATGTCGCCATTTTAGCGAGTAATTGGATCTGTGAACCCAAACATTCCATACCAACAGCGCCCTCTGCCAGGATATCCACACACACACACAAACAGAGAAAGGAAGAGAGACAGAGGTTTACTAACAGTGACCGAAATTCTATGCCATTTTTGCGCATGTATGCAGTCGCCGTTGTAGATGGGCATTCGCCTAAGGGTCTGCTATTAGTGCTTTTGTGCTATAAGGAAATAGTATTGTCCGTGCAAATACATATAACAGGCAATAACTTACGCAAAGGTAATCCCCACACGAAAGGGCCACTTCGTCACAAATGCCTCTCATACCATCACCTTTGACAGACCAGGCGGGATCCACAGGTGGATGCAACATAACGCTCAGCAATGATTCGAGATTGCATGCGGCCAAGTAGACGTATAAGAAACCAAGCAAAAGATGTATCAAGACCATAGAGATAATATGCTTTTTATACGAAAAGTCATTTATTAGATTTATTATGTTTACTATGATATTTGTAGTGCTCTTAGCCACTGCTTGATAGCAATGCTTCCAGAAGCTACCACGAGGAGGTGGCACTACTTTAGCTTCCAAAAATATTGTTCATTCAAAGAATGAATCCAAAGCCAAAGCCAAAGCTTTAGCAGGAACGATACACAGTTTATAAAAATCCAAAACCAACAGTCAACCTGCACCTCACTTGCAAGTTTTGCTTCTCTTCATCTCCTATTCTTGTTCGTTTCCTTTGGTTCACTTGTATTCGTTGTATCGTTCGTAATCGTAGTTGTAGTTGTAGCCGTATTCGTGTTCGTACTCGTAGTAGTTGTATTCGTACTCGTAGTTGTATTCGTACTCGTAGTTGTATTCGTATTCGTATTAGTATTAGTATTAGTATTCGTAGTTGTATCCGTATCCGTATTCGTACTCGTATTCGTACTCGTAGTTGTATTCGTAGTCGTTGATCAAAGGGCGTGCATTCACAGGTCCATGACTGAGAACTTCATCTTCGCTGACGCGTCGGCTCCAGGTTGAAAAGGTGCCGGTAGAAGCTAAACTCCATTCTCAATGCAAGTAAGCGGGACGGTTTCACTCGGCTTTTTGTTGGTGGTAGACCTCACAAGCCTCTTGCACACACCTAGTTGAATAGGCCCTGTGCAGCGCTAATTCCAGGTTCAACCTCCTCATGAATGCACGCATTTGAAAAATATGGGCGACAGGTCGCCATCGATAGCGTGCTGTCGTTGATCGATTCCTACAGTTGTGCTAAAGAGAAAAGAGTGATCAGTCTGTAACCCATGATCGAGACAACAATAAGAAAATCGTTGATGAGGTTGGTGACATGACGTATGCAAAAAATTGTGGGGTTTGAAAGAGAACGCGAAAATTGAAAATGGTCCTGAAAAAACAATTTCAAGGCCTGTGATTGGCTGCAATGCTATGGCGGAATGTTATGCCGACGTTGACTGCCATGCATGTATTGAAGCTTAAATAACACCACGTCACTGGGTCTACAAATGTTACCATGGTAAAGTGCACCTATTCCCATGTTTAACTTGAATTAACGATTGGAAATATCCGCTCCTTTGTCTAAGACTTTTTACTCACATATAAATACAACTACAGTTGGACGATCTTTGAGTTTCTAACAGAGTAGAGAGTACGTTGAATAACTGGAGAAAGGAGAGAGACTCTGTGTATGTGTGTACTCATGTGCTGTACATACGGCAACAGATGATTTACTACTGTAGCTACCGTCGTTGTAGCTGTGAGACGCAGAACGAGCAGGAAAGCATCACCACCATCCACAGCTCAGTGGTGAATCTTCGTTTGGTTAATTATTCGCTATAAATATTAAATCTTCTAATCACTATTTATATGATATGTCTTGTTCACTATCAATATCAAGTATGCCTATAGAAGACTATAGTCTGTCAAGTCGTATCTTTTCTTATGTACTTGATAAGAGCCAGCGGCAGAGGATACTTTAGACTAAATATATAATAACCCGCGCCCCTTGCTATTCCTTCCCTCTAAACTTTTATCCTATTTGAGCGACGTCACATTATCTGTTTTTACCTTCTTTATCATAATAGCGTGCAGCAAAAGAAGTGACTATTGTCCCAATGGCGCATGTCACCTAGTCTTCCAATAAATACTTTGTTGCTACGCGTGCGCGCTTAGATTTATACATCGATCCAGCGATCTTTTGACGAGTATGTACAATACTCAGCCTTTATAAAAACACCCCGTAAGCAGCTAACAAAATGGGGGTTTTCTTTGTGCCAGATTTACCTGAAAACATCAAAGCACCAATCATTGGTAACACGGCTCAGCGCATCATAAACAGTGCTTTGTTTTCAATACAAAAGCTAAAGGTCAGTATTGTTTTATCTTATGGCGAAAATATACTGCGTTGCTAAGCAATCGAATGCTATGGTTTTATGTTCTGCAGCCTCAACATCTTATGGTAACTTTAATAAACTACATAGCAGATCCCCGTCCTTCCTATAATTCTCTTTCCGTTATTTTTTAATTTGCTCGGTTACTACCAATAGACGTGTAACAAAAAGGTGTCAGGGATTTTATTTTAAATGTATTGATTCAAGGTGGTTATTTGGTCCTCCACGATCCTACGATGGGTGACTTTCAATCAAGCAAGCAGCAACTACCTACATGCAAGGAATTCAGTAGACACGAAT